TTTTTCTAGACTAAAAGTCTAAATTTATATTTATCTCTATTATTAAATTTAATTAAATTTATTTTATAATAAAATATTACATTATTAAATATATAATATATTATTACAGATAATATAATTTAAATATAAACTTATTCTATATTAGCTTATTATACACGTAGTATTTATACACATAGTTTATTGAATTACAACTTCGTGTAACATGGCATCAAAACAATTTTACAAACGAAAAATTAAGTCTTACTCATGGTTAGGGTAAGGATGGGTTTGGGATTGGGCAAGATATAGCCTATACCAAAATCGCGCAAGAAATTTTTTTTGTTAAAAACCCAAAGGTTGGTTTCATAATCAAAATTTTGAGATATTGGTTGGTTTTTATATTGCCGTGTACATACACCCCGTGTACAAACAGAAGTTCTCTAAAATATTATACGTATTAATAATTAATCAATAAATTATATTAAATACCAATATTTTATATAAAAGTATTTTTTATAATTTAAAAATATATTCTATAAAAAATTTTTTTAATTGAATGCAGATTCAAAAAAAGATTTAAAAGTAAGAAACACATTGCATATAAATTTTTAAATTATTGTATTCCAAATAACAACCCAAATATTAATTGGCAAAATATAACCAACTTTTAGACTTAAATTAATTATTTTTTAACCAAATTGGCATTTGAAACAAATAAATTATGGACTTATAACACAGCGACATCTAGATCACAGTTTTGCATTCAGTTGACGCACTTTTTTTGAGAGCTACTGTGCATTAGAAAGTTAATAAAGACATGTAAAGAGTAACGTTAAAAAACAAAAATTATTAAATAAATATTAGCATATTAAAGTTATTTTACTTTTATTTTTTTATATTTACAAAGTATTAAAAACCGGCTTTTTAAATTGGTTTTAAACTAAACCGAATTTAACTTTGACTTGGAATTTATTATTTAAAAACCTGATTCTTTTGTTTTCAATTTGAAGCCTAAAAGTCTTAAAACCTAAACCAAATCTAGACTAACTTTACCATCCCTAACTGGTGATAATTCACCAGTCCATGATATTTTTTTCCTTTCCTTTGGATTTACTCGGTTCATTAATCAAACTAATACCTCGGTTAAGCCATTGAGGATAAAATACGCAATTAGATGGCGAAATTTCTCCATCCTCTGTACATTCATCTTTAAAATACTGAACAAAAGAATGTGATGAATTTTTGCAAAATATGAACTTTAACCTAGAAATTGATCATATATTATTTATCACATACCGGACACCTGCCACATGGTGTTGGAGTCCAAGCATTGCTCACTGCTCTTGGCTTTTTTGCCATATACATAACGTGGGAATCATGACTTGTATCAATGATGTCCATTGTATCTGAATCAGGTATTGCGCCCGAAACCAGTCTTACAATTTTCCCTTCAAAAATCAGAACATCTAAAATTTGACGTATGTCAGCATCTTCGACATCTACTTCTGTGATTAATTTTGACTCTTGTATGCATTGTACAATTTTTGCTAGAGTAGCATAACCAGTGTAAGCAGGAAAATATATTGCTTCCTCCTCCAAGTCTTTTGGAAAACTCTATTAAATGAGCGGTTTCAATAATATTTAGATTGTTTGGTATAAACTGCGTGAATAACATCACATTTTTCTTATACAAACTCTGTGATATATAAAATTATAACATAATGATTTTAAAGCCTCTACAACTATTGTATCAACTTCTCCATTATTGTACAATAATCTGCTAAGAGATTCATCAGCTGGCTTAATATCAAATAGCATATACAATTTTTTGTTCTAAGAAAAATAAATAAAAATAAATAAGCATTAACAATGATAAAGATAATAACTTTAAAATATTGAAATAATGAAAAATTACAAAATAAATAATTACTTTTGGTTTGACCTCTTTAACCAGTTGTTGGTCTTGCATGGACTTTAAACTACTTTCAACTATGGATTGTACAATTTTAGTTGTCTTTTGGATTTCGGACTTTGCGATACCTTGACAAAAGATAATTCATTAGCCTTTCTAAATTATATTTCAATTTCTTAGATTATTCACACCTTTTCTCTCCGAATTTTCTATGAGCTCATATATTTCGAATTCTTTCTCGTCAAGGTTTTGTAATCTAAATATTTTATTATGTTAATTCATATTTATAAAGTTTACACTTTTGATCCATTCCTCTTAGAAGGAAAGAATAATATATAAAGAAAAAAAAAATATATTACTTTTTTGCAATTTCTTTTGTACGAGCTTGATATAAAACTCTTTCATCGTGGGTTTGTCGTTTCCTGACTAATCCCTAGATATTATTAACCTAGACATTATTAAATATGTAAATGGGACTAACTTAGACCATTAAAGAAGATTGTAATAGACTTACAAAAGAATGCAAACTGTCTAATATTATCTGTAATTGTTCCCAAGAAGTATCGGGTAACTCGTAGTCAATTAATTCGTGAAGTTTTATCTCGTCCACGAAAATCTAGCAAAGCGTTTGCTCTTTTTAATAAACAAATTTGTTATTCATCCTAGTAATTGTTAAGAATTCTTACCGGTCCCTGCTCTAAAATAACCTTGTGAGCAGTCAATTCTTCCTCTGTAACTTCCATATCGATATTTAATTCTATGCTTTTAAAAGATTAAACGAACGTGCAAGTTTGATACTAGCATAACGATAAATGCAGCACTGTTTCACAGATCTTGCATAAATCTTGCGATTTACCAAAAGTTTACGTAATTTTTTTAATTACTAATCGATTGTCGATTGTGTGAAATTTTAAAAAGGTTGGAATTCCAAATTTCCTTAATGATGAATTTGTTCTTATATCAATTCCAATTTTTGGTTAGAAATTCAGAAAAGAGATTTTTTAGTTCCAGTGTTAGATTTCTTAATAAAATTAACACGAATTCATTATTTTTCTATTATAATCAAGACAAAAGAATTGTAAATCTGAAAAGCAATATTGTTAGAATAAATTTAATAAGAATGACGACTAGTTTAAGTAGTGATAACAATAGACCTGTAGTGCAGGGTGAATTGAATAGACTTTCAAAAGAGAAGAGTCCTTATTTACTGGTATGAATGTAATTTTGTAAAAATTCTGTAAAGAAGTATTTAAACTTCTTTTTTAATTCTGTTTCGAAATTAAGCAACATGCAAATAATCCTGGTAAAATTTTGGTTTTGCGGTCTTCTTTCTTTTGCTATGTTTTGATAATTGAATTTGTGTTCTTGTAGTTGATTGGTATCCGTGGGGCGAAGAAGCTTTTGAGAAAGCTCGAAATGAAAATAAATTGATTTTCTTAAGTGTTGGCTATAGTACTTGCCAGTATGTATATCCCTAAATTATTATATTTTATATGTTTTGAACTGTTCTAATTTTTTTTTATTTTGTTCATATCATAATTTATTTTATACTGGAATTACAAGTTGGTGTCATGTTATGGTATGGCATTATTATACACACGTTTAAAGTCTGAATTTTGTGTAAGCATGTTTTTTTTACACAGATATTGAATTTTTTTAGGCTCATGAATCGTTCGAAAATGAGGCTATTGCAAAGATCATGAACGAGCATTTTGTGAATGTAAAAGGTAATGCTATGATGTAATAATATTATAACAATATAAAATTAGCTTGTGGTATTAGTTAATTATTATTGTATTTAATTTGTTATATTGGACGTACTTGTACAGTGGACAGGTACTATATTTAATATACCTTCATAATTTTTTTAAATCCTACCCTATGTTCACATAACTTGCTTCAACAGGGAAACTCAACCTGATGTGGATCGTATGTACATGGTATGTACATGGTATGACATTCATCTTGTAGGTTATTTTTTTTACCCAATATAAATACGTTTTTAGCTCTTTGTGCAATATTCTTCTGGAAGTGGTGGATGGCCAATGTCGGTCTTCTTAACTGTGAGTTTTATATTAAGCTACAAAAAATTATTTTAAAAGACAGTCATTTGATTATTAATATGTGTGAAATATTCACTCTCTTGTAGCCTGAATTATATCGTAAGTAAAAATATGTAGCCATCTTATTCTATTCACCTCTTTTAATTGTTCTATGCATTATGCTCGCAGCTGTGTTTGGTGGAACTTATTTTCCTCCAGATGATCGATATGGCAGGTAGATCTTGTCAACTATATTTAATTTGTTTTTGAATTTAGTTTTAGTAATAATACTAAGCATTAAATCTATAGGACTGGTTTTTCTACCTTGCTCAAACGAATAGCTGAATTGTGAGTTAAGATAACGCGTTACTACTTTCTTCTAGTATTAGTTATTGATTGGTGGCGTAAAATTTTACGAATGCATAGGTGGAAAGAACAACCTGACAATTTGAGAAAAACTGGTACAGATGCAATTGAACAGCTTCGTAAATATACAGAAGTGAGTAGTTGAATGGGCTTAATATGAACTATTTATTTGTGGCGTTTTATTATGGTTATTATATTTTTTTAGACTTTATAGAAGCACATTTAATTCTTAAAAGAACTTTATCATTCAATTATAGTCTAAGGGAGAAAGTTTCACGAAATCCACAGAATTAAATATGAAAATAGCACAAAAATTATATCATCATTTCGATACTAGATTTGACAATGAACAAGGCGGATTTGATGGTAAAAGTCTGTGAAATTATTATTTTAAATTATACCATTTAATTTTATAATTAAAAACAACAATAATTATTGACATTTTAGGTGAACCTAAGTTTCCGACACCTGTTCAATTGCACTTTCTGCTTCGTTATTATTATTATATACTTGCGGATCTTGACAGAGCAGATGAGAGGTTTGCTATAATGTCAATCAACGAAATTCGTAATCGTGGTGCAGCTTTAGGTATCGACTTTAAGGATTGTACCAATGAGGCACAATTTTTAAACAAACTTAAAGAGGTCGTGACAAGTCGTAAGCAAGTTGCAGAAAATAGTTTGAAAATGGTCAAGTTCACGTTGAAGGTGAATAATTAAATATTATTTTTTGGTTTAAATTTATAAAACATATTCGTTAACATGTTTATTTAGAAAATTGCCATGGGTGGAATTCATGGTATGTTTTGTAGAATAATATGAGTGAATCAATAGAAACCAATCAATTTTTTTTTTAAAAAAAAACATTTTAAAGAATAATATAATTTAATCTTAAATTTATTTAAAGAATTTTTTATCAAACTCAATTATATTTGTTCAAGGTTTATTTGTTTTGTTTCTATTGATTCACCCTCATATGTTTGTAATTTGTATAAATAATTGAATAAGAGTTTGATATAACTGTAAATTATACATAAATTAAACAAAAGACCACGTCGGAAATGGATTTCATCGGTAAGAAATACTAATTTAATACTATTACAACTAAATTTTATATTGAATGAGATTTCTTTTCATAGTTATTCAACTGATAAATATTGGCATATCCCTCATTTTGAGAAAATGGTAAGTTAATGGTTTGCTAATCTTTTAATCATTTATCCAGTTTTTCAAATCGTTTCTTATTGTTTTACAATCACATTAGCTTTACGATCAAGCGCAATTGCTGATGAGCTTTGTTGATGTTTATGTGATAACGAAAGATCAATATTTTGCTGAGGTATGAATAAATGCATAAATCAATGTTTTCTTATGCCCTGTACTTAGCTGTTAAATTTTATAGGTGGCACGTGATATCGTAACGTATGTCGAAAGGGATCTAAGAGATCCCGATGGTGGGTTTTATTCAGCTGAAGATGCTGATTCTTATTCTCATGAAGGCGCTGAACACAAACTAGGTGAGGTTCTTTTTGTCTAAGACCTATTCACTGATAGTTGAATATATTATTGATTTTTATTTTTACATAGAGGGTGCTTTTTGTGTATGGGAAATGTCTGAAATTAAAGAAATATTAGGGGATAAGAATTCGGAGATTTTCTGTCGGCATTACGGTGTAAAATCAGATGGAAATGTTGACCCCAGTAAAGACATCCAGGGAGAATTGAAGCATAAGGTAAAGAAAGGAGTTATACATACTTTACTTTCACGCAAGTGAGTAGAACTGATTTTTCACCCCAATAGAACGTCCTAATTGAACGCTATACGTTAGAAGAGACAGCGGAACATTTCAATATTACATTAGATCAATTGAAAGAAATTCTTTCAGAATCTCGGAAAGAACTTTTAAAATATCGTTTTGAAAAGAGGCCTAAACCACACCGTGACGACAAAATTTTGGCAGCATGGAATGGTTTGTATGTCCATTATAAAATTGCATGGTTTTTTTTTTTTTTAGTAAATTATGAGTTATTAACTCACTTATTGTATCTATTTTTATAGGTTTGATGATTACTGGTCTCGTTAGAGCTTATGAAGCGCTACGCGATAAAAAATTTTTAGATCTTGCAGAAGGTGCAGCGAAATTTTTGAAAGAAAAAATGTATATTCCTGAGAAGAATATTTTATTAAGAAGCTTTAGAGAAGGAGCTGGTGATGTTGAAGGTTTTGTTGATGATTACAGGTGAGGTGAAATTTCTCTTCCATTAATATCCAAATTTGTACTATTTTTAAAGTTGATTTTGTTATTTTTTAGCTACTTGATTGAAGGTATTTATACTCGTTCATGATTTAATATAATTGAGAGACTGATATATTTCTTTAATATGTCCTTATCTGTGTTTGTGATTTTATTTTTTAACATCAGGATTGCTACACCTTTATCAATCCTCCTTTAACGAATCATATCTTTCATGGGCTATTGAATTGCAAGATAAGCAAAATCAATTATTTTATGATGAACAATCTGGAGGGTATTATAATGTTAAAGAAGGTACTCGGGATATATTATTGAGGCTGAAGGATGGTAGGATTTCAAACTTATTTTGTGCATTAATTGCCTTCTCACGGTCAAAGTATAAGTAACGCGTCCACTTTCGTGTAACCAGATCACGATGGCGCAGAACCTTCTGCGAATTCTGTCTCGGTCAGCAACTTAATATTACTTAGTAATATCGTTAACAATCCTGATTACAACGCTAAAGCCGAACAAACATTGAAATATTTTGCGGGAGCATTAAATATGATGCCGCATTCAATGTCTGCAATGGTTGCAAGTATGATGTTACATATAAAAGGCGTTAAACAGGTATTTGTGCGTTCTTGAATTGTTAATGCGCGTGTAACTAGTATCTTATAATGTTATGTACATATTCATAGATAATGGTTATTGGACGCGAACAAAATCAAATTGTTCAACAATTTGTTGAGACCATTCGTGATCAGTTTATTCCTAGTAAAACTTTTCTTTTAGCAAAACCCGAAAATGAACTTTTACTGGAAAAAAATGAATTGGTAAAAGCTATAGTACAAAGCGAATTTGCTGATACATCAAAGAAAGGAGAAGAGGACAACGTTCCATCGGTACATATATGTGAGAATTTTACCTGTGGTATGCCAATCAGTAACATTGAAGACTTGCTGGACAAATTAAAAATAATGTGAAAGTTATTTCGTTTGCATTTCTTTTTTTTTCTTTTTGCTTTTACAAAAAATTATTTAATCCAAGTAATTATTACGTTTTTGATGCTTGTTATAACTTTGATTAAAGCTTAAACAAATATAGACAATGGTGGACTTTAAAGAAATTGTTATATCTATATATCAAGTAAAAATATAGTAGTATAATAAAAATTAAAAACCAATTACTATAAATATTTCAAATTTTGCGACAAAAGCAAGAGACTAAGGTTCCTTATGATGACGTTTAATGTTGTAAAAATCGTGATCCCTTATAGGTCTGTTAACGTTCACGTGGATTTTCGCGTTATATTATGGCACAATTATCGTATACTAATAACTAGTAGGGTTGTTAATGGGTTGGGTAGGAGTGGTTTGGGTTGAGATATTTCTCAACCCACTCCAAATTGGGTTGGGTTCACTCTGGAGCCACTCCAGATTTGCTTATAGCTGCTCCAGTTTCACTCCAACATATTTTTCATATTTTCAACTTACTTCAACTTGGGTTGGGCTCACTCCAGAGCTGCTCCGGAGTATGTCACGTAAATCACGGATTCCCACAACTGGTTTCAAATTTCTCTTGTTTTCGGAATATTGCGGAACAGTCAAATTTATCGGAACATGTCGGTCTTACTAGCAGCATTCATAGATATGTTTAATTCAGTGTTGTCAATTTCTTGTTCTATTGATAAAAATTATATTCTATTCTAATTTCTATTGCTCTATTCTATTGTTCTATTTATTTATTGCTATATTAATATCTAATTATAATCTTGTTGGCAATTTTTTGTTCTATTGACGAAATTTTTATTCTATTCTAAATTCTAATGCTCTATTCTATTGTTCTATTGTTTTATTCATCTATTGCCACCAACACTGTTTTAATTGAATAATCTTAAATGCTAAAAGATCTGTTATTAGTTCATTCAACAAATATCGATTTTGCATTTACTGTATAAGCAATTCGAATATCTTTAATGTTCAAGCACAATTCAAATTTTATTTAACTTAATTTTATTAAGCGAGTATACATGTAATTCATAAACGTTTTATATTATTAAAAAAATTGTAAACTATTAAAATTTTGAGATACTTTGTTTCAGAGATTATCTCTCTTACTCGTCTCAACCATCACAGTAAATGGTTTTCGACGCTGAAACACACCCTAATTTAAACCATAATTTTATTATTAACAGGTGCGTTGAGAGCACCCCATGAGCCATATCCCAATCATTCTCCTCTGCATCTCCCGTGCAGAAGTCGTTGTTCTTCATTGAAGAAATTCTTTAAATTTCTTTTACGAAACTTTTTTCTTACTTCAGTTCGTTTACATATCCTCTACTTTATATGTCTTCTAAATTTGGAAGTTCTTACATTTTAAAAATCACAATATTGGGCAAAAATTGTCGAATAGCGGTAATTTGGCAAACCAGGGCAAATGAACACGCGCCGCGAAACGACACGTGAGCCAATAATTTGCACTGTTGAGCCAAATTATCGTATTCGACAATTTTCCCAATATTGGTGTTATTCGGCAATTTATGATCATGATTGGTAGGCTGATTTTTAATTTAATATCAAGACAGAACAGATGGCAATTCATGATCATAAGAGTTTGCCGGATAACTATATATCGGATTGACTAAAGTCGTGCGCAGTAACGTGACATATAGCCAATAAAATCGTTTGTTGTGATTGACACAAATCAGAAAAAAAAGTGGACCCGTCAAAAAAATACAATAAGTGTCTAAACCTACCTTAGAGTATTAATAAAAAATGGTTGGAAGGCAATTTTACTATAAGACTAACCCTTAACCTAACCCTACGATAATCCTTACCCTAACTTTAATTAAAAAAAATCAAAAACATATGACCGCACACGACTTTAGACGTACCCTATATTGGTACATTAACTATTTTAGTTAATCCTAGCAATTGGATTACCAGATGACCCAACTACAACTGGATTATTTTACCGGAACTGTTCTACAAACGGATTTTTACCAGATGACCCAATTACAACCGAGGGATTTTACCTTTTCCTGAAGTTTCTTAGATTTTTCGACCGGAATTTCACCGGAGGTGTCCTTATTTTGTATTTTTTTTTACAACTTCCCATGAAAATCTGTGGCTGAACTTTAATTGCAATCCTAACACGGTTCTTGTCCTTCAGTATAACTTGAACCGGCGACCTCGCTATTGGAGATCCGGAAGCGCAACCACTACGTTATCGATTCACGGGTCTCTTCACAGGTCTTTTAAACGTTTTAAATAGGAAGAAACATAACCAGTTCCTTATGCAGAACCAATAAACCTTCCTTTGAGAAAATAAGTAACCTAAATATTAAAAAGGATTATGGAACGAACAAAGCGCGAAAAACAAAAGCGCGTAAGTTATGCCCAATTCAAATTGGTTTGATTTTGACGTTACACGAGATCAGCATTTGTTTATCTAATCACGAATTAAGCGTTATCGTTATGGTTGCACGAGGATTTACATATAAAAACATAAGGAATAAGGTACATCATATGACAACTCATTCAATTTACGATCTGTGTGATGAGTATATAAACGTACAGTACTATAAATGAATCTACAGTTATATGATAGTTAAGCAAATAATATTTCGTTCTTTTTTTTTTAATATCTTTTTCACGCTTACAAAACTATTAGGTTGTTTGTAGCGCTGTAATGGTTGTAAGGAATGTATTTATTTATAAGTGCTAGATAGTTTGTGTTATTACATAATTTAAAAATGTGTGCAAATATATATTGTGATAATAATAAAACAAATAGAGGGTATATTGTGTTCATGTTAAATAAAAGAATAAATGAAATATTAATATTAAAGATTATAACGTAACATACTTGATATATAATTAATATATTTAACGATTGATAATTTCAGGCATAGCATATTACAAATTATAATTTTCGACTATAAGTGTTATCAAATATGTTTCTTTATAACATGATATAGATACAGAATTCAAAAATATTTGATTGATTAGTATATATGAATTATTAATTATATTAAAAATGAAAATAATTAATTTAATAGTATTTGAGAACATTGATGCATAACTTCGAAACTGCTGTAATAGAAATGATTTCTATTACATCATAAAAAGAATTATAAGTATATATTTACAATTAAACATTCCCCTTTGCCAAACCCAAGTTACACCAAGTTTGAGTTTTAATTAGTATCAATAACATAGTTTTTGTCTGGTGAGCTCGCGCTTTGATGATCAAAGTTACTTTTTTTATAAAAAGATCAGAAACTTTAATTATAAGAATTTTCAGGGGCCAAATCCATTAAGTTATCATCATACCCGGTTAATGCATAACCCTTTTGTATTTTTTTTTTTACCTGATAGGCTAGTATTTTTTAATTTTTTAAAACTTCATGAAACAGGGTTTAAGTCAGGGACTTGACTTGGCATGTAATAATTATGATTTTCTTTTCTAAGTCAATTTTTAACTTTATTTACAGTATAGATAGGGTAATTGCCATTGAAACATCCAATTTGCACCTACTAATTGACGCGCAGAAGCACAGAATGGAACAAGGTGGTCTTTGAGAACTTTAATTTCATCGAAAGATTAATAAAGGTTTAATTTCATAAACCAAATATTCATCCTATTAAATTAAGTATTAAGCACTTATCTTTGTATTTCTCTTGTCACACGCACCACTTTTAACAATCATGTTTCTTATTCTTCGGATAAAGCTTTATGGTTTGCTTTGATAAAAAATAGCTTCTTTATTGCATTATCTGCAATTCACAAACAATACTTGTTGATTATGATGCATAGTGGGAATGTGCCTTCCTTCCTTTTTTTTTTTTAAGATGGCATTTTCTTCAAGGACTGGTCGATATCCAGAACATGGTAACCTTGCAATGTTTTTTCTTAGTTCTCGTATTTCTTAAAGAAAAAGAAATCAAATTGTTGTACGTAGGGTTTATGCGACTTAGCGCCCACATCGTTAATATAAGCAAGAACTTGGTATCAGAGATGTGCATTATGCTCATCATGCATACATGTAATCATGTAAATGCAAAATGCAAAATGTAATATTATCGTTATTTAACATATGATGTAATTTTACCATGCAGAATCCAATCATGCGTATCATTCACATAATGAGCATGATGCGCATGCTTGATACTTGAATATTAGTTAACATAACAACAGATTTTTGATTCAGTCTATAAATCGGAAACAAAATTTTTTGACATAACATCCGATTTTGAGTGTATTCATTCTATACAACACCTCCTGAGCAACATAAGTGTATGTACATACCAAAAATCTACACAAACCAAAATCGGTAATGATTAATAACTAGTATGTAATTATTCTCCTTTTGACATTTTCAATATATTAACTTCCAACCTAAAATTAGAACAAAATAAAGCTATGTACGTATTACTTACGTAATATATAATAAAAAAGATTCACTTGAGTTGAATTTTTTAATTCCCCAAATCAAATTTGTCAATATATTTCTGTATTTATTAATATTGGCTTAAAAACGGTGTTAAAGCCGAATATCCTTATGTTAAGCGCAAATCGGATCGTCCGACTTGAATACTTAGATCCAGAGTAATGAGAATCGTCCCAATGATTGTCGTAACTTCCAGAACTACTGAACTATAGTGAGTAAGTAATGTCAGATATAGTAAGTTCAACAAGCTACGATAATCATATAGCCTTTATATACAAGCAAATTTTCATGTCAAATATTTTACTTGGGGTCAAGTTCGAATAGTAAAAGTTGCCGTTATTTTTTTCGCAATTTGATTAAATCCGAAACTTATTTAGTTCCGGACCAGAAATTTTAGGTTCGTCAAAGACTAATACGTATACTCTAATGATGATGTAATTAAGGGATGAGATTTAAAAACTATCATAAATATAAATATTACGTAGTGGAATGTTTAATAGTATATTCGAATTAGTGTAACACAATTAATTAGATTCTAATTAAAGAATTAATTCATATTATATTATACATATGTGTGAGAACAGATTTTAGATGGATTTTGGGATTTTTTAAAGATTTCAGGGTCAAAAGGTGTAGGTTTATATATATACAATAAACTTTACCTTAAAATTCTAATTTAATTAACGTTAAGAAATACTCATAATAATAATCTGTATATCGATATTAAAGGAGAAAAAGTCCGGATGGCGGGGCCGATGCTTTTTGTGACGTGATTAAGCTTCGTTTATGGTTAGAATGTGATTCTGACCACTCATAGTAACAGTAATAATGGAAACATGTTTTGCCCAATCAAAAATGGGATTGATGTGTAATTAGTGTTACTATTTTGCTAAGAGGTTAAAAAAAATTTGATCTTTGGAACACTGGTTTTTTTTTAGCTTTTTATTTTTTATTTTTTTACTATTTGGGATAAATAACAAAAAATATATTTTTTATTTGGCTAAATAACAAAAATATATTTTTTTTAATTTGGGTTAAATATTACAATAGCATAAAAATACTTTTTGACTATTTGGGTTAAATAAAATAATTTAAACGGAAAAATAAAACATTCAGGATCGATCTACATTACAATAAATACAAATGCACAAAATGATAAATTAGGTTAATTAAAACTTTTACAACTTTTTTCGCTCCTGGACCTTTAAAATTTACCCATACATGTTTTTTAATATGATGTCGATATGATATGATGATGTTAATTAAAGGTATTTAAATTAATCAGGTGATTATTATACCATCATAGCGATCAAATTGATTATTAATAGTATGATAGTCGAATTTATAAAATAACACATATCTCCCAATTTTTGAACATTTTTGACAACTTTTATGTATCAATATCGACATATATATATATATATATATGCGTATTTTTTTATTTCTGTTTCTTAGTAATAAACTTTCACTTTAATTATCCTCTTAGTTGAGTTATATAGAATTTCGAAGTTCAATTAACGTTTAACGTTAAGCCAACTCCTTAACCCTTCCAAAAACAGAAAGAGACTAACCCCCTGTTGCACATTCTTCATCTGTTCATAGAATTAAGAATACTTTTTTCCGATTACCGTTCTTCTATGTAAAATTTTTATTGAGGTGGAAACTCCCCTTCATTTCTCCTGAATATAAGGGTTTAAAAAAAATATTTTCTGGTAATTAATGACTATTAATGAATGATTGTATCTATTTTCCTTTGTAGCTTTTTATGGTTCAATTGAATATATTCTTTAGCAGTACAACTGCTAAGTCAAAAACTGCTTAATTTTTTTTTCTGTCTCATTTCGTGCCTTCTTAATTGTACTTTTAGTTTTTTTTTCCTAATATTACCGTCCACGAACCTGACAAACGAGTCTTAATTTCAAATGGTAAAAAAGCTTTCATATCACTGTCTTAAGCATATAACCATATTAATTTCTTATTTTCCATTTCAATATGGAATGCATATAGCCTAGACGCGATCCAGACGAAGAATATACTATACTTGAGAAACTCGGTACAGGATCTTTTGGAACCGTTTACAAGGCGTATGTATTATATAAAAATTGTATTAACTGTGTTTTCTGCATGTCGTGCATATATTATTAGTATTCATGCTTATATGCGCCTTTTTTTCGTACTTTTAAATTTTTATGGTATATCTTTTATTAAGCATAAATAATGATACCAAGAAAGTGGTTGCCATCAAACAAATTGATTTAGAAGATTCTGACGATGATATTAGTGAGATACAACAAGAAATCGCAGTGTTATCACAATGCGACTCACAATATATCACTTGTTACTATGGCTCGTTTGTCAAAGGGTTCAAATTGTGGATCGGTATAATGTTTCTTTTAATATATCTAATGTTTAATTATGCGTTTTATTTTATCCCACGTTATTTATATCGTTCGTTCTTTTAATTCTACCTTTTAGTTATGGAATACCTAGCCGGTGGATCATGTTTAGACCTAGTGAGTGTAACAGCATTATATGATACTTGAATTTTTTATTTAAATATTCTTATTTATTAGTAATTCTTTACAGCTTAAACCTGGTCCATTTGATGAAAGTCATATTGCTATTGTCCTTCGTGAACTTTTACATGGTTTAGAGTACTTGCATGTTGAAGGAAAGATACATAGGGATATAAAGGGTATTCTTCAATATTAATTATAAGTTTCCTTGAATTATTATTATTATTATTAAAATTGATAATTTTATTCCTTTTTAATTTTAATTTATAGCTGCCAATGTTTTGCTTTCTGATGAAGGAAAAGTAAAACTAGGTATTATATCTATTAATAATCTCATCATTTATATAAAGTTTTTCTTGCATATGATTGCATACTTATAAACAATTCTGCAGCCGATTTTGGTGTCGCTGCTCAACTTTCAAATAATAAGAGCAGGCGAAACACGTTTGTTGGAACCCCCGTAAGTATTTGTCTTATTTATGGTTAATTGTCTAAAATCTAAATGTTGTTGTTGATTAAATTTTTTTATAGTTTTGGATGGCACCGGAAGTTATTAGACAAGCCGGATACGATCACAAGGTTTATATATATATATATATATGTTACATTTATTATTTCTAAATTCAATATTCAATATTATAAGAAAGGTTTAAATGTTTTTCTTCATATTTTAATAGGCAGATATTTGGTCTCTTGGAATTACTGCAATTGAAATGGCCAGGGGTGAACCTCCATTGTCAGAATATCATCCAATGCGTGTTCTATTTTTAATCCCAAAAGCAAGGCCTCCGGTACTAGAAGGAAATTTTTCCAGTGCATTCAAGGATTTTGTTAGTTTATGTGTGATGAAGAATCCTAATGATGTAAATAAAACCCCCAATTTTGTGTTTTCATATGGTTCAATCCAGTTTTTCTTATAATTTCTTTTGCAAAATAGCGACCAACTGCCAAGGATTTATTGCGACATCGTTTTATAAAATCTGCTCGTAATACTACATTGTTACAAGAATTGATTGAACGATATAGTAATTGGAAATCTAGTGGCAGAGAAAGAGCCGAATCTACCTCTCAAAAAACAACGTAAGTTCTTAAATAACTTTTTTTTGGATGTAAATTGTTATTAGAATAAATCATCAAAATTAATAATTTATCCATTTATGATTTTATTATATTATTATTTTTATTATTTTTATTATTTTACTTATTGATTTATATTGATAAGTGGGGCTATTAATTACGATACATCAAGCATTATTTGGGATTTTGGCACAATAAGAAAAGTACATCAAGATGGCACTATTCGATTGGACCATATGACATTTAAAGAAATGAGAAGATTGGAGTGTAGTTCATCTGTAAGTTTGTGATCGGAATTTTAATAATTATTTGAATTAAATAGTTATTTCAATAGTTATTTCAATAGTTATTTCAATAGTTATTTCAATAGTTATTTCAATAGTTATTCCAATAGTTATTTCAATAATTATTTCAATAATTATTTCAATAATTATTTGAATTCAATAGTTATTTTAATTTATAGTGCATTTAATTCAATTATTCTTTGAAAAATTTTCAGGCTTCAGCCTCAAACAATGCTACTGTTAAATTATCCGACTTTCCGGTAAGTCTAAAATCATAATCATTGAATATTTAAAAAGTATACCAAATTTATAAATCCCTTGTATTTGTATTACTCACTTATTAAAGCGTGGGAACGTTGAAGTTAATGCATTAGGTATCACAGAGGTACAAGTTGAACAAGCAACTACAAATAATAATAGCAATGGCACAACGAATTCTATTAATATGATGAATGGAGAGTAAGTAGCAATGTATATATTTGTAAAATGGTGAAACAAATAAATTCCTTATATATATATATATGTATATAGACTTGATACTATTCGAGCGCCCAGACCATTTAGTATCACTGATGCTTCTCTTTCAAGGCTCTCTAGAAATATTTCAATCGTTGATCCAGTAACAGAAGAAGGGGTCGTTGGAAGACAACTCGTCAATGACATTATCCTTCCATCCGTTGCAAAGGTTTTTAAATAATACTTATCATTAATTTCTTAATTTCACAAATAATTAATACAATTTATGGAATAGATCAAATCAAATGATCTGAGAGCGAATGAAATTGAAGCCATGAGTATATTTGAAAAAGGTGTTGAGGAGCTTGATCGTGTTAATCCTGACTTGGTTCTTACAACATTAGTAGAAATATTAAGCCGGTTAAAAACGTATCTATGTTCATGTTTTTTTTTTCCTATATATTTATTTATTACACATCACTGACTCTTATTTTATAATATAGCAATGTTGAATTATGTGACAAATTATCTGATCTGGGTGTTGTTTCTGATGCATTTTTAACAACTCCAGAATTAGTACTAGACGCATCTTCGTCATCTTCATCCGATCAAAATTCATCTAAAAATTCGGCTGATGTACCCGTAGAAGAGAAACCACCAAAGTCACCAATCTCTGAAATATTATATATCAGATGGATTGAACAATTAAGAATAAAGTGGCCTATAAGTTTTGGATCTAGTGGGTCATAAAAAAATCTATCTCTTTCTTTGTCTTTTGGGGAGAATATTTTTAATTGGGCAGGTAAATACTATATCTTTAAAATGTATAAGCAAAGGACATTAGGAAAGAAACTATAATATACCATAATATACTATAATATCCCTTCATATACCAACCATGAACAATCGTTTTATGATTTACACTATTTCAGAAAGAATGGTATCTTGTATTATTCTAATTTCCCTTTTACTGTCAATTAATGTACAATATTATATATATGTTGTATTTTTTTTTTTTTTATTCAACTTGTTTTATCTCGAACTGTAGTATAAAATTCACTCATCACAAATTTTTATCGCAATAACTATCCCGAAAGGCAATATATAACCGATAATAATATTTTTATTAAACACATTATTAAATAATTTCTGTATAGTTTTTCGTGTTAATTGTTTTCTAATGGATTTATACTTGCCAATATATGGCTGATGTTAAATAAAATATGAATTTTATGACTTTTTATTCAAAAAAAATTTTAACGTTCTATATTCTATAACTAATTTTCACCTGTGATAATTATAAACATATGAAATTATATATATTTAACCTGGGAAGATTATTTACAATCGCAAATAGGAATGGCAAAAAAATTTTTTATTAATTTATAAAAATCAAGTGGCATTTATAATCTGAAGACCACATAATTTATCATTAACCTATAAAATACACTATATGCTGATATATTTTATTCTTTTGCTTACAGAAAACTTTATTATAATTAAAATATATTGATTAAAATGTGACAGTTTGTTAATCTTCTAACAAAATCGGTAGTACTGTAAATAGAATTTAAAATACTTTCAGGATTTAATTATAATACGATTTTAATATAATATTTTTTTAATAAGCAAAATGCTAGTTAACATTATTACTAAACTAATTTATCATATATATACTATTACTATTTAACTAATTTATTGATTACATTAAATAAACTATCCTTTTTATTATTTTCATTAAATACAAAAGGGTTTTGATTTCTTGTTTCAGTATAACGTAATAGAAGGCTTTAATAATATTTTGTTTCAGTATTAGTAATGAAGAACTTCAATAATATATACAGTTGTTTGCTAAAAAAACAAATTGAAATAAATTAAGTTAAAAAAAAAATTATGATCTTTCTCAAAAGCGAATATTAAACCTGTTTCAAATCGCCTTACCTTTAACAGATGGAAACAAATTGCTCAAAAAATGAATTACATTTTTTTGCAACAAATTGTTTAATTATATTCTAGAATAAGTTTAACATGACAATATTAATTTGTAATTAACGTTAAAAGCTTCTTTCTATACACAACAATCAAAGATCTATATATATAGATATATACATACTTTATAATCTTTAACTATTTGTTTCTACAATTATTGTAAAATGTGTTCGAAATTCATGATTAATCTTAGTTACCACACCTTTCTAAAATAAAGATTTCGTTGACCTTTAAATATTTAAGACGAAAATAATAAATATTTCATCCAAATTGTGATTTGATCTTTTTAACTGTATGTGGCGTTGAAAATGTTATAATATTGGATACGAAGCATCTTTTATTTGAATTTTTTTTAGACTGTTGATGAGTTTGGATTCATAGTACTTTTACTTATTTTATATAATTTATATGTTTGTATTGTAAAATTGCCTTGACACGAGTCTGTTTATAAAAATTCATAATTTTGCCGGAATCTCTATTTCCTTATTTAGACAAGTCCCTTCTGAAAAAATTTTAATGTATGTATTAGACTATCTGATTGGATTTACTTATTTGTAACTCTAAAAGGAAATTTGATTTTGTAAATAAACAAAGTGCGTAAAAAACTAGAACGTTAACATTGGAAGCTATAACCATGAACTATCATCTATTATATGTAAAATTTCGTTCTCAATATTTTTAATTAGTACACCAAGGATGATTTAAATACTAGTTTTTGAGTATTCTCTCTTTTTTCTTGTTCGAAATTCATGTTGAGCTGATTCGGAACAATCAAAAATTTGAATTCATTGATTGGCTATTTTCTTTTTAGGAGTTTTTATTACTGGCGCAAATAAGTAAAGCCTTATCTGATTAACCCAAATGGAATATCATATATTTTTTAAATGAGTTTGACAAATAATCATCGATTTAAAGGTTGATTATTATTACATGAAAGCTTTTAGCAAATCTTTGACCGTGAAATAAGGATCACAGAAGAAAAAGTCTTGATATTTATAGAAATACAAGCTTTTTTTTTTGTTAGAAATATAGAAAGGAAAAGTGATATGACAGGGTCATCATCAGTTAAGGCTATTGGCTTACTGGGTTGTCCGATGTTCAAGGTTACTGGCTGATCTGATGGAATGGATTATTGAAATTTTAATAATTTAATTAATTTTAATTTAATTGTATAAATGGCAGTTAAATATTATTAATGATCTAAATTTTCATACTAAGGTAAGCGTGAGAGGCGAATCGCAAGATAAATATGACTACTATACTGGGCAACGAAAGTTCCTCTACGAAATATAATGATCTTGTTAATAACTTTCGACTTAACAATCAATCTTGACCAATCTGAATATAATCTTTTTAAATATTAACAATGATTCAATAAAAATTCTTAGAATAAATAATTTCGAATAATTTTGCTGATGATACCATGCCATTGTAGTGAATTTCTATATGCACATTACCCGAATAATACATTCTAAACCCATGAGTTGTTAACATAAATCTTTGTAAATCGTACTAATTTGACTACGTATATTAACCTTAAGAAATTTATTATAACTTTATTAAATTGATTTCAATTATACAATAAACATGAATTTGTATTCTGTGATATTATGCTTGATGTTGACTGTAAAGTTACAGAAAGTAAAAAAAAAAAAAAGTTATAAATTCGTCTATAGTATATTGTTAAAATTTTTAATAACTTTTTCATTTGCGCATCTTGGCGCACCAACTTTATTAAAGTTCCTAAAAAGAAACGAACATAAAATAAAATAAAAAATATTTGCGCATATATATATAAAATATATATTCATGGAAAAAAGAAACCTCACAACATCAAAAAAGATTTACCACTTACTTTGTGGAAATATAAAAGTATTAATAATGAATATCAAGTATAAATAACAAGTGCTTTAACATGATTTCATAGTACTAATCACGAAAAAGACAGCTTTAAAAAGAGAAAACCCTCTGTATATAAGAATAACTCACCTTAGCAATTGAAAAAAGGTAATAATTAAATGTTTGACATATTTGATAATAACTAATAAGACTCATATACTAATTACTAAAGAGCGTTCATTGTCCAAAAAACTATCTTTATAACCCGAAATTCGTTTTTCTTTGGACTAATTCATACATAATGGTATATAGGAAAAGGGAGTACTGCATAGTGTTGCATATAGTACTAATCAAGAGCACTCCGGAATTCGAATATTATCCCCAAATACAGAATGAGAAGGGGAATATGCAAAATTGCCATAACCTACTTATGATTAGGCCAAAATTGCTTATCAATAAATGAGGGTGCTATATGTAGTACTATACGGAGTACTGTACAGTGGTATGATAGAAAGAATATTTCATGTACAACGTGTCATGGAGTCTGATAATGTCGTTTCGAAAAGTTCGAGACTAAATTAGATCTAAATTAGGTAAATACATTTAAAAAATATAGGTATATAGATATAAAAAACCCCAACGTGGATTTTTGAAATGATATCGTAATCTAAGGCCCTACACAATCTAGTGTACTGCATATTATGGGAAAAAAAGAATAATTGAAGAGAACTAAAAAAAGCGAATGTTCAGTACTTAAAAGTCAGCACTAAGCAATTATATTTGTGTCACAAACCTAAAAATGACATCTAAGAGTTGAATCTAATTGATGATCTCAATGTATAATTTCATTAAAAAAAAAGTCCGACCAAGCCCGAGTAAAAAAAAAAAAGAAATAAAACTATTCATCGATACAATACTTGACCATAATACTGGAAAAAGGTCTCTAAATTTCCATGGTTAGTAAATTATCAGATTTTGTTCATATAGAATTACTTCAATTATATATCGAATGATGAATGTCCAAACACTACAAAGAAAAAGATAATCACGTAAAGCAAAATCAATATAGCAAAGCCGCCCCTTCACCTACATTTAATCACCAAGGATTTTTGTTGTAATCAAATTTTCAATCACACTAATCCAATCAATATTTCCCTCCTTTAACATTCGCTTCATTTGTTTTGTCTGTTTTACTTCATCCCAATTGTATTGAAGGAATAACATAACATTCTTTTTTAATTTATCTTCATTGATCTTCAAAGAAAATCTTAAGATCTGATCCCAAGTATGTATGTTAGCCATTTCACCAATTCGGATTATGACCATGTCTTTTAAATCATCTAAATGTCTTGCCTCAGAATCAAAATAAAGATTTTGTAATGTGTCTAATGATAAGTCGTCTTCTAGTTTATCTGCATAAAGATAGTATAAAATTGCCTTAAAGACCTGGAACTTCATCCCTGTAATATGAATTGGCGTTGTTCCAGCGACGCTCCATTCACCTTTAAATAATGAATCAAAATATTCTGAACGACTTGCAAGAACAAGTCGACTCGACTTAATTCTAGAACCACAGTCAAATTTAAACTCTACATCACAGTAACTTTCATCCATAAAATATTTTTCAAAAGAAGATAAAAATGGTTTTGTCCTTATTTCATTTAGTTTTGTACCTTCATTTAATGAATCTTTCGTAAATGGATCTTCATTAATGATATGTACTCGTATAACTAACGTAACATTGTTATGATTCTTTCCATCTGCGAAAATTTCGGTAAAAGGTACAAACTTTCTAGTACCTAAAGTATGAATATCGTCACGACTTTCAAAAACGAAATCTGATTTCTTAAAACTCCTTATAGCAAGATGTGTTAGTTTCTTGGATTTAACATCAGGATTATCAACCCGAAACAATTCGAACC